CGAAACGCACTAGTGTGCCTGAGTTTTATTAGTAAGAACTAAAACAAAACAAAAATAAATATACGTTCAGTATAACGGTGTTTCAACGGTATCGGGTTCACGGAAACGTGAGTAGGTCTTTCCGTGTCGGAGTCGTGAGGACGAGAGAGCGCGCCTTGGCGATCCGGTTCGCTGGACGGCCGGCCGACGGTTCCAGGCGCGCGTGTCGCGCGCCGGCGTCGTCCGTCGTCGGTTGGCGGTTTGATTGAGAAGCCGCGGCGCGGCTTCCGCGCAAAGGCTGTTTGAATTCAAACAGATTTTGCGCGGGACCGCGTCATACTCCCCCCCCAAACCGCCAACGGCGTTGGTTTTCCGGCCGTTGCCAGCGGTCTGCGTTGTCATGTGTGGTGGGTGGTTGTGGTGGGTCAGTGGGTGGATGGTGGTTGTGGTAGACACCTGTCCGAGGGTACGTTTTCCGGCTGTGTTCAGCGGACGTAGCCCTGGCGGTGTCTAATCGCGTTTCGGCGATGTGGGGGGGCTGTAGTACAGTAGACTGACGTCCATGTCCTCTTGGTCAGCCAGGTGTGTGCCCGTACCTCCTAACAGCTGTGCCTCCTCCTCCGGGGATATTTCCATATCCTCGGGTTGAGGGGTGGCAGCCGCTAGTTGATCCGTGGCTCCGGTCGCTCCGGAAGTGTGTGTCACTTCCGGTACCGTGACCACGGTGAGGTGCGGGGACGCTGGCCCTGGCTGTGACAGGACCGTCTCTGGGCCTGGGGCTGGGGGTGGTGCCGGCTTTTCCAGGCGGTGTTGTTGGGATGCCTGTTGCTGTTTGGCCCTGTGGTGGTCCCGCTTCCGCTGCTGGTTCCGGCGTTGGCGGGCGTTCAGCGTTACTGCTGGTGGTGTTGCCGGTGCGGTTGCCGCTTGTGTCGGGGGTGGCGGCGGCTTGAAGGTGGGTGTTGCTGATGGCCTGGTCACTGTCCTCGGAGCTGGAGCTGGCCACTCCATCAGCGGCCTTGGTGGTGGCCTCTCGGGTGCCCGCGTCAGCGTCCGTGGCTGCGACTTTTGGTTGCTGGCCGGTAGCTGTGCCACCCGTCTGGGGCTTCGCGACCTGGTGTGTCGTGCGGCCGCCGTGGGTGCGCCGCTTGTCGCCCTTTGGAACACGGCGGTGCGGTCCTCCCACCCTCGTTGGTAGGCCGCCCACAGTACCGGGTCCCGCTGGAGTTGGGCATTGGTCATCCGCCATACCCTGGCCGCCGTGGTGACTGTCGTGCCCTCCTCCAAAGTGGCTGCCCTCAGCAGCTCCTGGCTGCGTTCCAGAAGTGCCGCCGCTTGTTGGAGGGTGGAGGGTGTGGCCGGCCGTTGTTGTTGGTCCATTTGGTGGTGTGATGCTAAGCCGACTGAAATTGAGTACATAAAGATGCTATTGAGTGTTTATGGTGTGGGGGGTTTGGGTGGTGGTTGTTGGGGCTCTGTTGTGTTCGCCCGTTTGAGGCAGGACACGTGTATTTTGCGTGCCGGCTGTTGGTCTGTGATGAACACCCCTTTGCCTACGCGTTTATGTAGTTTCACCGGTCCCCACCATTTCGGTGCGAAGCCGGCGTGAAACTTTTTGTGCGCGCTTGATAGGTGGTGTGCCTTGTAGTACACCGTGTCACCTGTTTTGTACTTTGTGTCCGTCGGGCCACCTGTTGCCGGTGGTGCGGTAAGTACATTGTTTTCGCGCCTAGCCCTGTCCATATTTATTTGTTCGATCGGGTTTTCCGCTGTCCGTGACAGTATCCAGTCCCCCGGCCTTTTGCCCTCTCTCCCGAGGACGAGTACCGACGGTGGGTATCCTGTCCGGTCGTTGCGTCTGTTCCTGATCGAAAAAAGTATGGGGGCTAATTTGGTGTCCCAGGTGTTGTGGTTGCCATCGGCGAGTAGCGCGCGTAGACCTTTTTTTAATTCCTGGTTACGGCGTTCGACTGGGTTGGCCCTCGGGTGATATACCGGAGTTGTCCAGCCCTCGGCTCCCCACTGTTCGATCGCTTTACGCATATCGTTTGCTACGAACTGTGGGCCGTTGTCGCTTAAGCACACTCGGGGGTATCCGAAACGTGAAAAGAATTCTCGTTCGAGCGTTTCGGTTATTGTTTTTGTAGTGGCTGTTCCAAGGGGGTATGCCTCGGTCCACCTACTAAACAAATCCGTGGCGACCAGTATATATTGTTTTCCCCTACTCGTGCGCGGGTAGGGGCCCATGAGGTCTATGCTTACCACCTCCCAGGGGTGTCGGGGTACTCTGGTGGTCGCGGGGCCGTCTGCGCGCGTGTTTAGTGGTTTGGTACACGCGCATATGTGACACGACTTGACGTACAGTCGGATGTCGTTTTTTTGTCCTTTCCAAAAAAAACGTTGTTTGACCGCCCTGTACGTTTCTTTCCAGCCCGGGTGGTTTGCGAGTACGTGATCGTGGTAAGTCCAGATCACGTTCTGCGTGTTGATTTTTGGGATGACTACGGGTGTGTGTTCGCCCAAATTTATCCGGAGAAGACCGTCGGTAAAAATGAATTGTTTGTTTTTTTCCGAGGTACCTCCGGTATTGCGCGCTGGGTCGTCCGTTGTCATGTTGTGCGTTATGTCTCGTGTGTTGGGGTCATTGGCCTGCCATGTCACGAGCATAGCGTGTGTGATTGTGGGGTGACTAGTGGTGTTAGCCGGGTTCGTCGTGGCGAACAGATTGTCGGCCGGTGTACTAGTAGTGGTGACGAGTGGTGAGGTGGGTACTCCTACTAGCCGTTCCTCGAGGTGTTCCTCGTCTACCGGGGGCCCGGTAGTCGGGTTGCGGGAGAGCATGTCCGGCGCTTCGTTCTGTACGCCGGGCACATGCGTGGTTTTGTAATCCAGGTTGGCCAGCTGTAGTGCCCACCTGGTTAATTTTGAGTTTGTGTTTTTGGCTCGGTGGAGCCACGTGAGTGCTGAGTTGTCTGTGTATAGGTCAAACCGGCGTGCCTCCAGGTATGGTCTAAACTTATCGGTTGCCCAGATTATCGCGAGGCACTCGCGTTCTACCGCGGCGTACCTTGTTTGCGTATCACTAAACTTTTTGCTTGCGTAGGCGATTATCCGCCTTTCGTCCGGGCTGTCACCCCGTTGGAAAAGGACGGCACCCGCTCCTATCTCGCTAGCATCGGTCTGTAGGCAAAACGGTTTTCCGTAATCCGGCGTCGATAGTTTAGGCGAATCGTACAGGGCGCGTTTTATTTTGGTAAATGCCGCCTGTTCGGTTTCGGTCCACGACCATTTGGTTCCCTGTTTGAGTCTATTTGTTAGGGGCGCTATGGTGTCCGCGTAGTTGTCGACAAACTGGCTGTACCAGTTGCAGACGCCCAGGAATTTCCGTAGGTCCCTCAGCTTTGTTGGTGGGGGGTAGTTAATGATGCCCTCTAGTTTCTCCGGTTGTTTGTCTATACCGTCGGAGGTGACTAGATGTCCAAGAAATGAGATTTCGGTCGCTCCGAATCTGCATTTCTCGGGGTTGCATGTCAGCCCGTGTCTCTGTAGACGTTCTAAAACTTTGTCTAAGTGGCACTGGTGTTCATCCGTAGTGTTCGAAAACACCACTATATCGTCTAGATATACGCGGACGAACTCGTCCAGGTACCCCCTCAAGACTTCGTCCATTAGTCGCACAAAGGTCATGGGGCTGTTTTTGAGGCCGAAGGGGAGGACTCGGAATTGGTATAGGCCCCGACGCGTCCGGAATGCCGTGTATTTTCGCGCGTCCTGTTTAAGTGGTACTTGCCAGTACCCTGACTTAAGGTCAAGGACGCTGAACACTTTTGCCCCTCTCATCTGACGTATCAGCGTGTTGAGGTCGGGCATTGGGTAAGCGTCGGACTCAGTGATGTCATTGAGCCGCCTATAATCAATGCACAGTCGGGGTGAGCCGTCTTTCTTTTTTGCTAAGACGATGGGTGCGGCCCACGGGGATGTGCTTTGTTCTACCAGTCCCTGCTCCTCCATGTCCCGTATCATGGTATCGATTATGGCCTGTTTTACCGGTGGATAGGGATATGGTTTGAGGGCTATGGGTGTGTGGTTTTTGAGGAGGATGTCGTGTTCTATTAACCTGGTGCGGCCTACCCTACCGTTGAATACGTCCGGATAGTTACGTACTACTTCGGCGAGTTTCGCGCGTGTGTGGTGGTCACCGTTTATTGTTAATTTGTCGACATCTAGTGCTGGGCTGGGGGTGGGTATCCGACCTTTCCAGCACGCTGTTGTTCTCCTATTCGAACCTAAATGAATAGTGCTCGTTGTGTAGTCCCAGGTGACTTCGTTTTGTACGAGAAAGTCGTGACCTAGGAGCATGTCGCAGTATAAATTGTCCAGAATGGCTGCGTTGAAGGTGACCGTGAGGTCTCCGATTCTGGCTACGAATGTGGAGGTACCACTTGTCAATGTGGTGTGACCATCCGCCATTCGTACCTGAGTTTGTTGTCCGTGGTGGGGGGTGCCAAATTTTTGTGCGGTGTTCGGGCTTACATACGATTTTTGTGCTTGGGAGTCGAGTAGAGCTGTTACGGGGCCTGACCTAAATTCGAGTTCGACCGCGGGGGTCGGAATTTTGTCGGGGCATACTCGTTTAGCATTATTCGACGTTGGTGGTGATGTATAGCTGGATAACTGGTTCTTAACCGCGATATCGGTGTTCTGGGGAGCGGTTTGTACCGCCATTACCAGAGCATCCGTTTCGGTTACCTCTGTGCTATGTGTATGTACTGTATGTGTACCTGTTAATTTCGTAGTAGGGGTCGTTGATGCGGACCTTTGGGGTGCCGCGTGGTGTGGTGATGGTGACCTGCTACTTAACGAAATTGTTGACGTTTGGACGGGTGATATATGTGAGGACGCCGAGTTTATCGATGCGCGTTTGATGGTTATATCCCCGTCTGTAATGCCGAACGCTGTGTGTGATGGTGTGGTTGTGTGTGTGTTTTTGGTGGAGGCGGCGGCGTGGACAGGTGTCCGCCGACTCATTTCCCGTTTCCCGAACGCGGTGTGTTCCCGGGGCAGTCACTGTTCCAGTGAGGACCTCCGCAGTATCTGCACGGGTTGGGCGGTTGCGTTTTGCCGGCGGTACCGTCCCGTGTTCGCGTTTGGTGCGTTGGTTGGGGCGGGCGGGTTTGGGAAAATTTTTTTTGCGCCGGTTTCGGCTGTGGGTGTGTCGCTGGGTCGTCAGGTGTGTACTCCAGGACTCCAGCGATCCGGCGGAGGTCTCCGAAAGTCGCTGGTCTTTGCAATCTTATGTGCGTGCGGTATTCGTTGCGCGTTAGTCCGGCTATCGTGCCTACTAGCTGTGTTTCAGATAGTCCGGTATTGACGCGGCGGGCAAGTTGATTTTTTTGCGTTACGAATTCCGTTAGCGATTGCGTTGGTGTTTGTCGGACGGATACTATCTCTGCCCGCAGCCGTGACTGAATTTCCACGTTGTCGAATTTTTCTAAAAATTCGGCGCGGAACTCGTCCCAGGTGACGTCCAGTAGTCTGATGGTGTTCCACCAGGTACTGGCTGCACCCTTTAGCTGCTGTGCGATAATATTTGTCCAGGCCGACCTATCTATACGCGTTTGGTACATTATCGACTCCGCTTTATGGATAAATCTTGCCGGGTCCTCAGGTGTTGTCCCGTGGTACTCCGGCAGCGAATGTCTCGCTGCACATACGTCGTCGTATGGTATCAGCGTCGATTGTTGTGCCGCGTAGGTGTATGTGGAGGAGGGGGCATGGTGTATGTTTGTTGTGTCGTCGAAACGTACTGAATGATCGGCGCGGTGGTTACCCGCGGACGGTGGTTCGCGTGCCGCGGGGTACCTCGCTCCGTATTCCGTGTTGTTCGTTGACACTGAGTGGTGTGGGCGGATCGGTGGGGTTGCATCCGGTTGCTGTTCCGGTGCTTGGCGTGCCATACCCATCTCTAGGCGTCGCATTGTCTCTGCAATGCGACGTTGGTCTTCGCCAAAGCGGGCCATACAGTTCTCGAGCATGGTCAGTCGCGATTCCAGACCGCAGCCATGCGCCGAGTTCTCCACCGCTTGCCGTACCTCCTTTATTATGGTACGACCCGTTTGGATCATACCCATAGTTTGTTGGTGTGTGGGTGTGGTTGATGGTTGGGGTGTTGTGCTGTTGGTGGTGATCTGGGATGGGGCGTGTGTTGTCTCGATCTGTATTTGCGCGGTTTGACTGGCTTCGGGTACCAGACCTGTGGCCGAGCTCTGTCCGGTGTGCCCAGTGGGTTCCATAGGCGGGAACCGGATTTCGTTGGCCTGCAGGTTCATGTCCGCGAAATGTTGTGTTAATCGGATTTCGAGATCACCCTTCGCTCCCGTATCCGATAAACCGCGCTGTCCGCATTCGTAGCGCAATTCCGCGGCGGTCAATTCATTAATATATTTTCCCGGCATGACTTCCGGTTGGTTTTCCGGTGTTGTTGACGAGAAATTATAAAATGTGGCTGTTGTCGTTGGAACGGGTATCGCGTTCCTTCGATCAGCTGTGTTGCCCGCTTATCGGTGTTTATTTGCGTACGGAATGTAGGTCAGTGGGTTGTTATTGTTATTGTTGCGCTTGCCGGGCGATCACAGTAACCGGTCTTCGCAGAGTGTTTTCGCGGATGCGCGTGTGTGCGTTATCCGGTGCACTACTGCGATTAGGGAAGGCGGCGGCTGTCGCTTTAAGCGGCGGCGGCGGCAGTCCGATTACGTGGTATTTTTGTCCCGGGTAATCGCGTGTTGACGCTGGCGGGTGGTGGTGCTAGGCGGTGGTGGTGTGACCCTCTCGCGCTCTTGCGTTCCTACCTAATGCCTACCTACGTCGTGTGTGTTTGGTGCGTCGCGCGCGGTGCGGTCGGTGCGTCCGTGAGTCGGGCGGCGCGGCCGGTCGTTACGTCCTTTATGGTTATGTAATATATTACGTAACGCCGGTTTTTCCGTTACCGCCTGCAAACCACGTTTTTGCCGGATCGCGTTGTTGACTTTTTTCCAAAACGCGCAACGGGGGTTTGTTTGGGGGTGGTAGTATGTGGTAAGAAAGTTTTCACTTACCGGTGATTCCTGTTCGGGGAGCCAATTTGACGCGGACTTGTATTGAGCCGCGTGGTGTTGTGAGGTGAATAGGTGATGGTGGTGACCGACCGAGGATCGTCGGGTCGAAATAAACAGAACGATCAATCACAAAATAACAAACAAACGAAACGCACTAGTGTGCCTGAGTTTTATTAGTAAGAACTAAAACAAAACAAAAATAAATATACGTTCAGTATAACGGTGTTTCAACGGTATCGGGTTCACGGAAACGTGAGTAGGTCTTTCCGTGTCGGAGTCGTGAGGACGAGAGAGCGCGCCTTGGCGATCCGGTTCGCTGGACGGCCGGCCGACGGTTCCAGGCGCGCGTGTCGCGCGCCGGCGTCGTCCGTCGTCGGTTGGCGGTTTGATTGAGAAGCCGCGGCGCGGCTTCCGCGCAAAGGCTGTTTGAATTCAAACAGATTTTGCGCGGGACCGCGTCATACTTTATAGGTACAGTATTTTCATATAAGTTAGATTCGAATGATATAAATTTTCAACTTCAAAATATTCACTGTAAATATTTTTTGACATGAAAACGAAAAAAAGCCCAAATAGTGAAATATAATAAAAGTAAAAACAAAATAAATTAACTTAACTTACTTCTTAAAGTAAATAATTAATTCGTTAATTTCAAGTTTATTAAAAAAAGTAATTTAGTAAGTTAACAGTTAAGTGAATGAAAGGCCAATAACTAGCTAAGTTTAAATTAAATTAACATATAATAGCAGTTTATAGTCTTACAAGCATTTAATTTATTGTCTTGGCCAATTTTAGAACATAACAATAATTTCATTATTTTTAATATTTGGCTAATTGAAAAAAAATGTACACTTAAGTTCATAAGTTATCAATACAAATTTAAAAAAAAATTGTTTCCACTATCTAACTGAAAAAATTCCTACCATTTATTAATGTCTTGAACTGACAAATTTATAGAAATGGTAGCCTTGGCACATGACTGTGGCTCACTTATTACTACTACAGCTAGTTATACAAAACATTTTTTTTTTTTTTAATTACTTGAATATTGTTATCCGTGAAATTTGCAAGACCACTTACAGCACATTCTGATCAACTAATGTCAGCCATCCGCTTTCCTGTGACGGAAGTATGGAGGGACCATTGTACACCCAACACCCTTATAATAAACCTTGAACAAATATAATTATATTAACACCACAAAATATTTATATTGGCTTGTAAATGTAACTATTTAACACACACAATCAATTGTGTGTTGTTAGCTATAATATTAGTGATTTTACATATTATTGATCTTAACTATATTATCTGTATCAACAATAATTAATTTTTTTAGTGCATTTCTTAATTTAAATAATACTTTTACATGCTATTAACATGAGCAATGACAAAGTCTAGAAAAAAATAAACATGTCTCATATATAATATACACCATAATAATAATAACAATAATTGTGAAAAATATAACTCACTTGCTATACATGATCCATTGGTTGGTACGCTATATGATTTGATATAAAATTACAGATTCATTGTGGCATTCACCAGTACACCACATCTTTCATTCAATACACCCTTAAAATACATTAAATATTTAATTGATTACAACAGCAACAAAAATAGTAAAAATTGTTGATTTTGTTCTGTAAACTCCAAAAGTACCCAAGATGAGAAAAATCAAGAGCACTGCATTGAAATTGTCCCATAGTAATATTTTATGATCATATCATCAAACAAATATATTGATAAATATATATCAAATAACACACTGTTTCCAGTTTTCCATACTCATAACATTATTATTTTTGAAGGGTGAAAAGTGAAGACACAGAACAGTGATATACTGATATCACTGACTATATAGTCCTCACGATAACGACAACTATCCTTAAGAGGATGTAACACTAGCATTTGTTGCCTCCGTCTTACAAGTGCGCAACATAGAAAATGTACGCTGAGCAGATCACTTGTAGCTTCGTCAGTTTAAAAATTAAAGTGAATCGACCTATTATGAAACTTTATGTTAAGAACATTATCTGTGTTTGTAAGTGGGTTTTTTACAATAGTTCATTTTTTAACAAGTTTTGCATGTATAATAGGTTCACTTTGATTTTTAAACTGACCAAGCTACAAGTGATCTGCTGAGTGTACATTTTCTATGTTACGCACTTGTAAGACGGAGATAACAAATGCTAGTGTTACATCCTCTTAAGGATAGTTGTCGTTATCGTGAAGACTATGTAGTCAGTGATATCAGTATATCACTGTTCTGTGTCTTCACTTTTCACCCTTCAAAATTAATAATGTTATGAGTATGGAAAACTGGAAACAGTGTTCATATTCTTAACAATAAATTTGATAATTGTTATCGTTATGGCATTACAATCATTGCATTGTCAAAAAAATTGAGAATAGTGATTAATTTGTTTAAATAGTAATAAAAAGTGATGCATAACCAAAATAGTGAGAAATAGTGAAAAGAGTGAGTCAGTGGACAACTTCTTTGTTCTTCAACCTTAAATCATTTTTATATAAACAAATATCCCTTACCATGTGCAATCCTAAATCCTAAAGTGACCTGGTTGATTGATAGAATCAATAATTTCTAATGTATTTTGACTTTTGCATTGCAAGTACCACTGCAGTAGCAACAACATTTCAGTTTCACTTATTTACCTGAAATAAATAAAATCATCAATTATAGTCTATAAATTATGTGTTTTTTAACTACAACTTATAATCATGGGCATAATACCGTGTAGGCATAATACAATTAATAAGCCGAATTTAAAAAACTGGGCCGCTTTATTCTGTATGCTGAATCTGCGATTAAAGTCTGCGCACGCCTACGGTTATAATAACTACCTGTCTACCTACTTACTTATGGTAACTATTACTAAAGCGTCCCATACACGGAACGATCTATTGACAGACTTATCGTCAAACCGATCGGTCGATTTGTTGTCAAACATCGCCTACTCCATACACTAATCGATTTGTCTATCAACTATTCCCGCGATGAACAGTAGTTCAGTTACTAAGTTACTTAGGAGGTGCGAAGTACTGTTCTGTTTTCTGTTTTACTAAGTTATTTACGAAGTGCGAAGTACTGTTCTGTTTTCTGTTTATACATTTTATATTTTTCAAAATTTCCTAATATTTACGCAATGTCCAACTTATTAGAAAGGAAAAGAAAATCTTTAGTTATAGCTGCTCTTGTTTTGGCTGTGGACGATGAAGACGAACAAATTAAAAAAAGGAAATGGTCAAAGCAGTGGTTATTGGAGAGGAGAAAGCATTCACATATGAATTTGTTACACGAGCTGCAGTCAAATGAACCTGCAGATTTTAAAAATTATTTACGTATGGAAAATCATACATTTTATAAGTTGTTGGATTTAGTTAGACCATTAATAGAAAAGCAAAATACAATAATGCGTGAAAGTATTTCTGTGGAGGAGCGTTTGGTAGCAACATTACGATTTTTGGCAACTGGTAGGAGCTATGAAGACCTGACGTTTTCATGTGCGATATCTGCTCAAGCTCTGGGGAAAATCATTCCTGAGACATGTTGGGCAATATATGAAGTATTAAGACAAAAATATTTAAAGGTTAGTAAAAACTTGCATGCCTATAATAATATATATTAATATTATATAACCTTATAATATATCATAATATTAAAAAAAAAAAATTATATAAGTACTTACTATAAAGTTAAACTATATCCTAGTAGAAAGTAGGAAGGCAAAACGCAATTTTTCTTTTCTATAAAAAAAATGTTTTAGATACTTGAAATTTTTCAATAATTTATTTAAGAAAGTCCCATTTTTTAAAATTTTTTTTCATTAAAAAATGTTTTGTTTGTAAATAACCTTGAACATTACTGCAAGGTTTTGTACAAAATTAGTTTACTTTAATTTAGTTTTCCCTTCCCTTTTCGTCCGATTCAATTTTCGACCAAAACAAAAAGTTATATATAATATATAATGCAATAATGTAATTTTTGTAAAATTATGGAAATTATAGTTTTTAAAAATGTTTATATCATTCTATATAGAAATTTATTTTTTTATAATTTATAAATCAATTTAAACTATATGAGTAGATTTGTGACATATTAACATAAAAATAATGTTAATATATAGGTTATCTTATATTTTAAATAATTTTCTATAAGTAAAACACGATAAAGTATATAATATTAATTACTAATTATTATTTTACCAAAATGATATACCTATTAGTTTATTTTTGTTATGTATTATACAGATTACTATTGTGCTCAATAATAATTGGCAAAAATTATTTACTAATATATATCTATATATCTAGTGAATCGGCCGAAAAGGGAAGGGTACGTTTTTGGTTCAAAAACGGCCATTCCCTGTAGATCCTAGTAGACAGTAGTAAATACGTTTATTTAATATAGGTACTTACTTTGTAGTTTGTATCATGTTTACTAAAAATAGTCAAATAAATAAAGAATTATTTATTTTTTAAGATGCCAAACACAGAAACAGAATGGAAGCAAGTTGCAAAGGATTTCAAGATGCTTTGGGATTTCGATAACTGCCTAGGAGCAATTGATGGAAAACACGTATTGATCACAAAACCGCCAAATAGTGGATCATATTACTTTAATTATAAAGGAACATTTAGTGTAGTACTTATTGCAGTGGTGAATTCAAATTTTGAATTTATTTATGTACATTGTGGTACAAATGGACGAGTTTCCGATGCCGGGATTATGAAAGAAACTGATCTATACCGCTCATTAGAAAATAACGAGTTAAAAATACCTCCCCCTCAAAGTCCACCTCAAGTCGAATATAAGCTACCATTTGTTTTCATTGGTGACGCAGCATTTTCTCTCATGGAAAATTTAATGAAACCGTACGGAAAACATAACTCAGGCCATGATGAGCACATATTTAATTACAGACTTTCTAGAGCGCGACGGGTTGTTGAAAACGCTTTTGGTATTTTGGCTACACGATTTCGAGTCTTCTTACAACCATTAAACGTTAGTGTTGAAAATGTTGATGCAGTTGTAATGGCAAGCTGTGTTCTACATAATTTTTTACGTAAAAAATCTAGTACATTTTATACCTCAGCAAATCACATTGATTCAGAAGACACAGAATCAGGTAATATAATTCAAGGGCAATGGCGTCAGATTGGTGAGATGGTTCCTTTACAACAGTCTTCAAGTTATACACCTCAAAACGCCAAACTTGTAAGGGATAAGTACAAAGAATATTTTAACAACGAAGGAAAAGTGTCTTTTCAAGAAAAGATGATACATCACAGATAAATTATAAATTATAAGATATAATGTGTATTTCCTTTAAAATTAAATTATCAGTAGATATATTCAATAGGAAAAAAAATATTCTAAATAAAAAAAAATATTTAATGTAACAAAATAATAATAATTTCCCTTGGTTATAAATTATACGTCATAAAATAAAAAATAACTGATTTATTCTAAGCAAAAAATGATATAAACAACCTATATTTTGTACTTACTATTAAGTTGTAATAATTAAAATGTATTAAATACTCGTGTCAACTTGTGCACCAGCTTCAGGATTATCAATGGAACTTGCAGTATTCACATTCCAATTAACGCGATTTTTATGTTGGGTGATTGGCGGGATACTATCTAATCCGTATGTATATTGTTGAATGTTATGCCCTGCATTTTGTTTGGGTTGAGAAGTATCGTGATGAAGATATGGGCTTTGTACTTGATAAGTATTTTCTAACATATTATATTGACGTTGTTGATTGTATATATTTTCCTGTGGTGGTGCTAATTTTTGAGAATTTTGATGAGAGTGAAATGTAGGTCGTATAATACTATTTTGAGCTGGTACATACATAGAGTTTGTGTTTATTTGTGGCTCAGTGGTTGAAATATTAGTATTATTAAATTGAAAACAGTTCTCAGTGAGTTTCTCCATTCTACCATAATACATAACATCACCTATTATTTTTTCTGCCAAAAACATTTGATGATCTTTCATACCTCTCAACTGCATTGCAAATCTTTTACCAATAACATCATATTCATCATCTTCTTTAATTGGATTATTCAAAGCCTTCATCGTTTCACTTGCAATGTCTATGAACTCCCTTTTCTTTGTAATGAAACTTTTCTGTTTTTTATGAAGACGAGGGCTGGGGCTGGGGCTAAGAACCTGTTGTGCAACACTTTGCGTATCATCAGACTCAGGTGGTATATTCTCATCAATAAGATCAGTTTCAGTCGTATCCTGAGAATAAAATTAACAAAACATTCTATCATTTGGAAACGGTGTAAACAAGTGGTTAGGTTGTTAGGTTAGGTGGTTACAAGTGGGTCACTGTTTAATGGATGGTATTAAATTGACCTATAATAAATTCCAAATGAATCATATCACAATACCCATTAGGTACCTACGTACTTATAACGCGTTATACATCAACGTCATCAACAACAAACCCTACTATCATATAATAGTGTACTTTAGAATTTTCAAGTACCCACGAATAATATTATACAATCACAAAAAAATTAATTAAAATAGTTATTCTAGGTTTTTGTTATGTAATTTCGTTCAAATTTGAACTTAAAATGACTATAAAAATAAACTGTTTTTAGTAACAGAATTAACTATTTACGTGGAATCTTGTTTTAAATTTTAAATCCTTAGATATAAAAGTTGAACATTTTATACATTTTTAACTACAAAATAATTATTCAATTTTAAATTTGATAATTTTTGTCAAAATTTGATCTTTAAATGCTTATAAAAAAAAGTGTGCCTATGTATTTTTAATATTTTTCAACTGCTATTGTAATAACATATGAGGAGACTTGTATTACATTTTTACACTTTTTGGCCCAACAGATAAAACTTTATTGATATTCATAGAAAAAAAAAATAAAAAAATAGAAATATGAAATTGTCCGTAAACAGCTTAAAACAAGTCGAAATATTTTTAAAATTTTATCAAGTATAAGAATTGATAAAATACACATTTAGTGAAATTTTCATGTACCTACAGTTATTGGTTTTTAAATTACAACAAAATAAGAAAATTGCTACATGAGAAATCGAGTGAATATCCAATGTTGTAAGAATTTGAATTTCAAACGCTCATAAAAATTTAATTTGACTTTCTTATAGAAAAATTTTTTTTGATAAAGGCTGATAATCTTATAAGGAATCTTGTATCACATTTTAAAACCTTAGATTTAAAAAGAAAAATTTTTACGAATTCATAACTCAAAATAATTTGCTAATTTTCGTAATTTTTCCATATTTTGTCAAATTTTGAACTTTAAATGCTTATAAAAAAAAAACTATGACTAAGGATTTTTAATATTTTTCATCTGCATTTGAAACAATATACTAGGAGCCTTCTATTAAATTTTCAAGATTTTTTATCCAACAAATAAAATTTTATTGATATTTTTAGAAAAAAAACTAAAAAAATATGGAAAATGAAAATGTCGCTAAACAGTTCAAAATAGATCAAAATAATTTGAAAATATTATCGTGTATAGAAAATTCAAATATAAACAACCAGTGAAAATTTTATATTCATACGTTCATTTGTTTAAGAGTTACACCAAAAACCAAAATCGAGGTTTTGGAAAACCGATTTTGCGTAATAATTCCCGTTTTTCCTTAATTTTTGTTGTTTTTCCCGGCGCTTTTGAAAACAATTGTTAATTTTAAATTTTGACCTTCCAAAAGTACCAACTAGATTCACTTTCCCATCGAACAAGATACTGAAGTCGAAAATCGAAGAATTATTTCGACTACTAATCGTGTACACGGACACAAAAAAAAAAACACAAATCATTGTAAAATCAATACATTCATCGTTTCACTCAGAATCTAAAACCTAGTTATTTTTTTGTGATTGTATAATATTATTCGTGGTTAATTGAAACTTCTAAAGTATACTACTATATATCTATGATGTATAACGCGTTATAAGTATCTAATGGATATTGTGATATGATTAATTTGGAATTTATTATAGGTACATTTTTTTTTAATACTATAGATATGTTTACCTATAATATGTCTTATACCTAGACTGACATACCGTCTCCGCTCAGAATCGTTTTTCTTATACGATGATATTATATCATTAAATTCAAATTGAATACCATCCATTATACAATGACCCACTTGTAACCTACTGTACAGCACCTTCTTTTCTCTCAAACCCACAATCAGCATAGTCGCATAGATAAATCTCTATCATCTAAAATCGTATTTTATAATTTTTGATTAAAATCACCTATGTGTTAGAAAAACTATAAAGGGTACCTATGACATTGGTTTTATATTTTATTATTATTTAACTTGTATTCGACTCTGAAATAAAAAAAAATGTTTTCAAATTTGTTGAAAATATTTAGACAAATTTACATGGCATTGGTACCTACCCTCCAAAAAAATTATACTACAAAATATTTGTAATGGGCGATTTTAAGATTAATAAAAAAAAATAAAAATATTTAAACATATTTAATCCTTGGTTAATCTATGTGTTAATCTTTTATGACGAAATAAACTATTATTATTATTGGTTTATAATTTTAAATTTCGTCAAAATTTCAACTTCAAACGTCTATAAAAAAATGTTATAATAATATTTAATTATAAGTAGGTACTTACTGAAAATGCGACACTGTCGTCAGTACTGGATATACCTTCTCTTCCAGTTTCATACTCCATGGTAAACGATAGCAGATCAAAATACCACAGCGTTGGTACGTATATTTCATCTGCAGAGGATCCTGTGCGTTTACTTGCTCGCACTTTGGCCAGTTCTCTTTTGTATGCCGTCCTCAATTGTTAATTTTTTTTTTTAACAAAAGAATCGTCAGCATCGGGAATTCTTTCTTTGCATTTTAGAACTAGTGCCTCAATTCCTTTATTTCTCAAGTGCTTATTTTTTGAGATGACACTTTTTACGTTCCACAATGCTGGATGATTTTTATATTCATCAATGAAATCGGCCACAAATGTCTTATCAAATTCGAAAGCCATTGTCACAAAAGTTTTATAATTAAAAGTTTAAATATCTTTTAAAAAAATAAGTTGGCATAGACCGTATTCAAATCAGGACCCAGTGACTTCTACAACAATAGTGTGCGCAAACGCGCGGTTGAGTGTTGGCATCGACAAACCATACACGCACCAACATGTTTGTTGACAGGTCGGTGGTTGTCGTGTTGACGCTCCGCGAGCGCCAACCGCCAGACACGACGACACGACGGCCAACCAGCCCATACACGTATCAATCTGTCCGTGCGGCCGCGTTTGACGATAAATCGTTCCGTGTATGGGACGCTTAACTCCTGAACGCTGAACCATCGTGAATAAACCGCTGTGGAGTGCTGCTGCACTCGCGTCTCGCTGAGGCGTTCATGACTCCAAGAGACCAGTAACAACATTACAGTGTCACGTTTGTTGACCAGTCTCCGCTCTCTGCTCTCCAGTAGTCCAATGCTTGTGTGTTGTGAGTAGGTATTAACCTGCGAAGTGCGAGTTTGTAATCATAGGCGTATCTAACGTCAACGTGTATAATAATTAATAATGTCATGGTATATACTTACCTACGTTTGGTTGTAGTCCAGTCCGATATTACATTATTACAATTTACAGTAGTTATGAGTTAAGACTTATGCTGCCATGGTGGTAAAAACTACAATTTCTCGGCCGCATGCCACATGGAACATAACCAAAGTTCTTTGCTTATCTAATCAAATCTAGAATATTATATAAAATTATTATCATGGACAAAAAAATATCATACCGTTTGACTTGGAATAAACGACAAATAACATCATCACTGGCCTCCAGATTTATTTTTATTTCTTACTAATCAATTTAGGGCTCGGAAGTTGATGACCTTAAAAACAATAAAAAATGACCATCAAAATGGCAAAAAATGTCCTAAAAAAATGACCTAAAAAAATTACCAAAATTAGTTTTATATTAATAAAAATACATTTTTTTTAAAATATTTTACTCTATTTTACTATAAAATTCAAAATATGACATAAAAATGACAAAAATGTCCTTAAAATAGGAAAATCAAAAAATTAAAAATATTTGTTTTATAAATGTATCAATGCTTACAAATTATTTAAAAATCAAAATCATTGCATTGTACAATTAGAGCAATTGTACAATTTTATGTTATCGAAAGTAAATGAACGACGATTATCTGTTAATAAATTTTTATATTTGGAAAAACTTCTCTCAACTAGAGGGGAATCCTCGTAAACGTTTCGAGATGGAAAATAATTTGCTGACAATACAGTTAAATTTCCAGTCAAACTTAATGTAATAGATTCATGCATTGTAAAAATTCAAGTCATAAATGACCACAGTTAAATGTATTGAAGTCTTGATAGTTGGAATAGTTGTATACTATTTTGAACTGTCTGAAATAATGTTGTAATTCAATTGGTGGTGATAAATCACCAAAGCTATCAAAATATACAACTTTGTCCTTATTTTTATAAAACGCTACCCAATGGCTTCCTTCGCGCGAAGATATATCCAAGTTTAATATACCACATTCAATCGTATGTGGTTTTTTAGGTAAGTTAACACGTGAAAAGACTCCACGGAAATGATTGATTTTCAACTTTCCAACATATTTTATACTATCTTGAGACCAAAGCGGTCTGTCAGGTAGCGTGATCATCAGTTTTTTTTTCTTAACCTTTTCTTGTTTGATTTCAAACCACTACCTTTTTTCTTTTTGAATTTTGAACTGCATTATACACACTAGCACCTCCAGACATCAAACTACCAAGTGCTGACAATCCCGCAATATTAAGGGAATTAAGGGAATTACACCTCCTGACTGTCTCGGTACTAAAATCAACCTTTTACCACCATTCTTTTTCTTCAAGATTTTTTTTTCTTCGCTGCTAGTATAACATTTGTTTTTATAGCACGTTTTCGTTTACAACCCATACCTATTTTTCTTTTAGCTTTCATCGCGTTTGTTACTGCGTACGCAACTAATTTCTCTTTCCTAGGTGTATCTTTTGCTTTAAATCTTTCCCAAGCACGATTTTCTAACACTTTATCTGCTTTATGTCTATCGTCTAAATTTTTACTGGTTGCATACACAATATCGTGATCACGACAAGCAGCATCCAATGGATTTATTCCTTTATCGCCACGATCTAGTCTCTTTTTTAATTTCGTGCCAGGACCACAATACTGATATCCTGAAACATGGGTTTCGAACGGGAGACTATTTATAAGGGAGTTTACAAATCCTTTTCCAGTCTTGACTGACTTACACTTACGAGTTGAACACATCTATAACTGGCTATAAATTGGAAAATTCTAGAGTATTTATAAGAAAATAATATAGATTTGATAGAACAGAAAGATAAATTGGATGTTACAAATGTAGATGTTCAGGTAGTAAAAAAACTATCAAGACATGGTTCGTTATTACCCGATACTATACTTGCTATACTAGTTGGTCCCAGTGGCTCAGGAAAAACAAATATAATGTATAATCTGATCACACATGCAAACGGGTTAAGACTTGAAAATATTTATTTATCTGTAATCAGAGAATACTTTAGCATTGGTAGACATTCAGGTGCCAGCTCCTTATTTTATTTAGCACAGACATATTCTAAAATATCAAAACAGTTTGTAAGAGATGACGCAAACTTTTTAATAATACTGAAACAAGATGATACAAATTTACGACACTTTAGCACATTTTATGTGCTTATATAAATATACCGTCACACAGTTATTATCTGCATAGTGCTATCAGTAGTCATACGATACAGGTATATTACATTTATTATTTACAATGAACAAAGAAAAAGTCTTGTTGGAAAATTTAATAACATCAAAAATAAATATACAACGAAAAATAATGGAAATGAAACGTGGTGTTATAGATTCTGAAAACTATTTCCGTGAAGCATTTAAGCCGATAATTGAACCATTGAGTACACATGTAAAACAAAATGCAATATGTAACACACGGTCAACCGAACTAGAAAATAAATCAGAGACCTCGTGCATTAGTGAAGAAGATAATGATGATGAATTAAATTCATCATATGAACATTTTTTAAATAACCGTCCTAAATCAACACGTTATGATAAATCGTATGGTATGTATTATGATAAAGATAGTGATTTATATAAAAAATTAATACATTCTGTTACTTTTAGTCACGGCAAATTACTGTTACTTAATAAATACTATCAATTTACACCAGGACTATGGTCTTTATTATGCGAGAAGGAACCAAAAAATACAACTATAGCAGATGAAGAATCTTATTACAATATTTTGAAAACTACTGGAGTCCATTTAAAAGCAGATTTAAAACCTAGAACCTCGAGGTACCATAAATGGGCGACTGTTGTAAAACCACTGTATGATCGAATGAAAATGGAGGAAAAACAGTTTAACGAAGAAATAAGTAAAATTAATGTGAATACAACTCCTCGAATTAATTTAAAATCATTTAACAATCATTTATCTAGTTCAAGCGCTAAAAGTAGAAAAATAACACAAGAATTTGAACCATTTGATTTTAATCCAGAAGGAAACAGTTCCATGTCTACAAATGCCGTAGTTGAAAATTGTTTAATTTTACTTCATCACCAAAGACTAAGAAAGGTTCTGGTTTATATAAAGATGTCTTACCTCAAACCCAATTAGTTTATTATGACGATCCGAATGTTGTATTTTGTTCCGCTAGATAACGCTTTTTATACTAAACCATTATGTTTATGGTGACCATAAGCTAAAGTATTTATTGCGTCATCCATTATATAACGTTTATCATAGTTTGCACTTAGAACAAGTTTGTTCATTGTTTTCGAATGAACAACTTTTTTATTTAATTGGATAAAATTCCCTTTTCTATGAGTTTGTTCATCCTTGAAGGTTTTATGGTTTATAAAAGAGTTTAGTATATCCATATAATTAATAAATTGCATGTGATTTTTAATTATATATTTCTTTACACCTTTTGCCTTTTTTTTCAATACTATCCACAGTTTTATAGGCATACAATTTCGGTCTTAATGATACGAATTCTTTAATTATTATTGATTTCATTTCGTCCTTAAAAAACCCTGGTTGATTCTTATGAATTTCACTAAAATAACAATGGTCTTTAGGATAATTAGTTGTTTCAAAATATGGTAATAAACTATTTTTTAAATCGGCAAAAAAATTTGTTATTTGGATAGCATAATAGGGAATCAGTATCTGAATATAAACAACTAATTTTAGTACCATACCTTTTCTTCATGACATTATAATGGAAGTCACACATAAATGTTTTCGAAACGTCTAAAATTGCAAATCCTACCTAAATTTCCTTATCGAATTTAATTGTCTGCTTATGCTGATGAATGGCCATGAGATTCTTGGTATAGTTCTGTCTTTAAAACTAGTTTTTGCTATTAATTTTTTTGCTTTTTTTTTAAGAAACCAGTTTTATAGAAGTTCTTTCTCGAACATTCTCCATACATTTACCAAAAACGCTTTTAATTAACAACTTCCAGAAATCCTTCTCAAACTCGTTTTTAGCTAGTACTCTCATAGATGTACATAATTTAATGTATGATGCCATCCATTTACTTATACAATTCTAGCTTTGATGGTAAAAAAGTATCATCTAGTTTAATCCAACTATCGACATATTCATAAGGGAAGACTCCTTTTTGTGTAACTAAATCTAGTGCTTTCGTAGACAACTTTAGAAAATATAGCTAACGAGTTACATCAACCAGAGAGAAAAATATTTCCTAGACGTAGTGTAATAACTCGATTTAAAGATGATCTTTGGCAATCTGATTTATTTGATATGCAGACACATGCTAGAAAGAATAATGGTTTTAAGTTCATTTTAATTGTTATTGACACATATATGAAATATCTTGGGTTTGAAGCACTGAAAAATAAAACCGCAAAGGAATGTACAAAAGGAATGATAAAAATACTAAAAAAAAATCAACCAAAATTATTACAAACAGATAATGGTACAGAGTTTTATAACAACGAATTTCAAAGTATTATGAAAAAATATAATATTAAACATTATTCAACATACAGTAGTATAAAATCTGGAACAAAATCTTGGACAACAGAAGTTTTCACTATTTCTAAAGTTTTAAATACAGATCCGATAACATATCAACTAAAAGATAGTTTAAATAATTTAATAATAGGAAATTTTTATGTACAAGAATACCTTTCTCATTGAACGTGTTATAAAAACAAATTATATGTAAAATGGCTTTGTTTTGACAATAGTCATAAATGTAAACGACACATAGTTAATAAGTGAATTTGTAATTAAACGAAATGTATCAATCAATACATATTGTTCAGATTTTATAAACTATATCATCATTACAATGTACGGTATTGATTCAATTAATTAATTTAATTTTTAATTAAATCGTAAACATTTTTAATACTGTACATGTAGAATACTGTATATACTTTATAATTGTATTAAATCTGATAGACGTTTAACCACTAAGCCTCTAGCAATTTTCCATTCCTTATACAACTCTACGTTACTGCAGTTATCACGTTTTAAAATGCAGCAACCTCTATCTAAATCAAAATACAGTTCCCTGAGTTTTTCAATATTGATTTCCATCAGATTTGGCATTTTAGGTTTGGATCGAATATTAGGTCTTACAGAAATGATAGGTCTGTGTATTCTAAAAAAAAAAAAAAAAAATGTTATGTTATACAGCTTATACCGTATAGTTAATTAATTGTTTGAATATGAATTTTGAAATAATAATAAAAATTAATTAATGTTTTGTTATATTATTTGCGTTTTTTTATTTCATTAACTATATTTAATTTACATAATATTAATTTTTTTACATATTCACTTTTATTCAATTAAAAAATAAAAGACATGTACCATTTTTTAAAAAGATAGTGTCCATACGCAATAGTATTAATACCGTCATGCATAATAATTCTTTTATCATCGTTAGCACTAAGAGCAACTTTATTTACAGATTTAGAATAAACAAAATGGTTTTTTGACTGAATAAAGTTCATAGTTTTACATATTTTTTGATCCGACAAATTATTGGTATAAACATTTAATATTTCTAAATATTCGTTGAATGTTATGTGTTTATCAATTACATACTTTTTTACACCCTTAGCTTTTTTAACTTCTTCGTTATTTGTTTTATACGCATACAGTTTAGGACGTAAAGCAATGAATTCTAGTAATATTTCAGATTTAATTTCATCTTTAAATTTCCCTGGTTGATTTTTTCTAAGATCACTATAACAATAGTGATTTTTAGGATAGTTTGATGTATCAAGGTAAGAAAGCAGTAAGGTAAGGCGCCAGGATTTTTTCTAGGTAGGGCCAATGGGAGGCCAACAATTATAAGGTAGGGCCACCAATAATAAGATTTCAACAAAAAAATAAAACAATTATATTAGGTAATTACTATATTTAAGAACTTTAAATGATTACAACACTTTAACAAAACTACTTAACTACTTTAAAATAATTCTCCGATTTCTATGTGCATCTGCAAACTTATTTATTATTTCATCAATATCTAGTGACTTTGCTTCACGTTTTTCAATTGAAATTATGCTTAAACTTGTAAGGTTAGTGTCTAGTAATCTATTTCTTACATAACTTTTTACGCGTTTCATACATGAAAATGTACGTTCAAAAAAAAATGTAGCATAATTCCCTGTGTGCAAAAAACATTCTCAGAGATGTTGTACAGCAGTTATTTTGAGTCATGTGAAGTTTAATATTATTGCCTATGGTTATCGCGGAGATGTCGTAGGCACCGTTAATATCCCTACCTGTGAAGTTACTGAATGCGATGTCGCAAAACAATGTTCCATGTTTCATCACAATGTAACTTCCATATGCAATCAGATTGAGAGACATGAGATTTTCCAATTCCTGCCCAATGACTTCGCATAGACTTCACAAAGTGTCCGGAAAAAATGAAAAAAATATTTCCCACTGGAGAGAGCCCAGACGGATTCGAACCCTCTACCCCTAACCTAAATGACCTACGCCTAACCTACCGGGACACACTAACGAGATACTCTTGGCGTAATAAGATAGTGTATTTAGACTTTTATAACAGTCAGTCGTTTGATACGTAATACACTGCATAGGCGACCCTGGGTCATTTGCCACCCCTGGCTTTTCAAAAACTATAAATCTAATAAAAAAGATTGTTGTTTTAAAATATTAAAATAATAATATTTATTTTCAAATACTAGCTAACTCCAAAAAAAAAATTTCTGCTGGGGTCTATGGTAGGTATGCTGTAATGAATGCATTACAATAATCGCAATAACAACTTTTTTTTATTGTCGCCTTTTATAAATATAAAATTTGCAATATTTAATTTAATTTATCTTAAGGAAATGTTTCACTATCATATTATGTTGCATAAAATCAAATAACTATTTTAAAATTCTCATAACTTGCTACAAAATTAAAATAACAATAAAATGCTAACATAGTGCTATACTAATATGGAGGCAATTTCACTATAATAGTATAATATTAAACAACATTCTTCAGAACATAATATTTATAATGTTACCTATTTGTTAATAAGACGAAGACTACAGACGTGGATGGAACATCCTCTTAATCAATATTATGGATTTTTAGACATATAGTTATTATAATAGTTAATACATCATTCTATAAAGTAGATATACAACCTTTAAAACTTACCCACTACCTATGTAATAATTATTAACAATTATTACCTAACCAAACAACTTTATTTGTTAGTTTGTTATGTAGTTATATAAAATTATACTTTATTTTAAATTAAATTATGTAGGTAGGGTTTAAACACAAACAAAATAAAACAAATTGGTATTCGTTTCAATTTTATACAAAATTGAATTCTTTATTAATAGTTTATCTTAACTATCAATTATCTTAAATATTATAGGTACAAACATGATTAATTATTAGCATTAATAAAACAAATTATACTTCATGAAGTAAAGCAATAGCAATAGATTTGCTGCCAGTTGGTATATATAAACATTTACTTTTTAAACAGTCTAAGCCAATTGATTTAGAACAATTATCATTATTATTGTCAATATAAAATGATTTAATTAAACAAGATGAAATGGGATCTTGATACATGATGCAATAATTTAATGGAGTCACAATAAGATGTATTTGCCCAGTTAAAAGTTTAACAATTTTGTTGACTTCAACTATGTCATTATTTTTTAAAATAAAATATTTGTCTCGAATACTTTTTGAACTTACTACAAAATTTTTAAGAATTACTTTTTCATATTCATTTTCATTAATAGAGTCACCAAAATTAATTTCATTTTTCAGAATTGGGTATTTTAAAGGATTGCATTTTGTTTGAATATTTACTTGTTCTATTATACGGTTGTAAGTATCTTGGAGGGGATACCTAGAATTTTTACAACTTTTTTTAATAAATTGTAAATAATTTTCATATTTAAATGCACTAAATGCATCTAAGGCACCATGGATCAAAACAAAGTCAGGTACATGAATTAAATTGTGAACATTATAACCCACATATTCTTCACCGTATAAATAAGAAAAGTCATGAACAAATTTATTTAATAAAGTTTTAGCTAGAAAATTATGAGTATGACATGTTTCAGGACATATTAGAAGTCTGGTAGCACAATGTAAGAGCATGAAATGGTTATAAAGAGATTTTTTTAATCGACCTCTAAGAACAACTGGCCCAGTATACAGAACAAAAGCCCTAAATTCTGTTGCTTTCCAGTATTCAACTTCTTCTAGAGATCTATGCAGCCTTGTAAATTCCGAAGGCATAAAAGGTTTTAGGCTATTTAACTCTTCTGAAACTTCTTCGGGCTTTAAAAATCTAACAGGTTTTTTCCCCTTTGTCCAAAAAGTTATCAATCTTTTTGTTACCCCTAAACATATATTATGCATATATTCTATAACCACTGTTTTTATCATATCAATTGGTAAATCTTCCAATGGACTAGAGTCTTTATGATAAAATTCATCTTCTTTAGTACGAAAAGATTTATCTGATCTTAAACTGGCATTCATATCTAAATATGCCATACGATTATTAACAAAACTACCTTCCACTATACAAGAATTGCAACCATGATACGCATTATGGCCTTTAACATTGAGCACAAATGCTTTGGCCGGTGCATCACATACTACCTGAGTAATTTTAAATTTTAAAACTTTATTTTTAACAGATATTCTATTTAATAGAATTTCTTTAATTTCAGTAATGAAAGAATTCATAAGATCAAAACTTGAACAAGGTTTCTTAAATTTTCCATGATATATCCCAACTGGAAGAACATATTTTGACAAATGAGATATATTTACAATGGAAATAAGAATAGGCCAAAAGCTTGACTTAGAGCTGGCTGATAGTGGGACCCCGTCAACATTAATTCCTAACTCTATTATAATATTGTCATCAAAACAATCAATATGCTCAGATAAAGTTTTACATAACATATACTCAACACCAATATGAATGTAATCTCCTGGAGGTACATTAATAATAGTATGGAAATTAGCTTTTGGGGTTTTTAATAATGTCCTGGCGTCTTTTGGAAGATTCAGATTTTCAGACCGCAAAATTGTTAGAAGAGAATTCAAACAGTTGTGTGAAACATGGAATTCAGCAACCCATTTTTGCAGTTTAATTTTTAAAGTTTCATTATCAATATTATCATTGTAGTTCATGTTTGTATCACATTGATCATTGACAGTTAAAAATGTTTGAGGTTCAGTACAATTATATGGTGATATTGTTGAGACTGGTGTATTATCCACAACTGCAGAAACATCTTCAGAATTTAGAATACAAGATACATTTTGTTCATGTTTCTGATTAGCATTTTGAAAAAGCATAGCCATATGGTTGGAGGTATTGTTCTGTGTACGACGCAAAAAATGTCTTCTTGATAATGATTCATTATTCTTTCTCTTTCGAATCTGAAGAAGTTTAATAAAAACAAAATATAAGTTTTATTTTAGTTTTAAGAAAACAAGCTAACAGCTTGGACAGTTAAGATAGAATAAACTAAAATAATAAGTTTGGATATGCTAATACTAGTAATGTTTAAACTTTAAAGCAAAATAATGAAATAGTTTTATTTTGTTACACTTTTTGAAAAATTGTTATTTTATTTATTTTGACTTCTAAATGCATATTATAATTATGATATAGTATAAAAAAAATACATTTGTAACTAATGAAACAATTAATAAAAACGACAAATATAAAATAAACAAATTTAAATATCTTTAGTTACTAGTTATAGTTTTTAAATGCATAGTATAATAATATTGTATATAAATAGCAAAATGTTAATTTATAACTAATGAAACAATTTTTAAAAAAAAAATGACAAATACAAAATAAACAAATTTAAATATTTTTAGTTACTAGTTATAGTTTTTAAATGCATAGTATAATAATATTGTATATAAATAGCAAAATGTTAATTTGTAACAAATGAAACAATTTTTAAAAAAAAATTACAAATACAAAATAAACAAATTTAACTATTTTTAGTTACTAGTTATAGTTTTTAAATGCATAGTATAATAATAGTGTATATAAATAGCAAAATGTTAATTTGTAACTAATGAAACAATTTAAAAAAAAAATGACAAATACAATAAATAAACAAAGTTAAATATTTGTGGTTAAGCAAAAAGTAAAATAAGTTGAAAATTAGATTTTTATTTTTTCTTCTCTTTTGAAACGTTGTAAAGCATGGCGAAACCAGTCTTTAACATGGTTTTCGAAATCTGATTCTTTAGCTTGAAATGTATTAATAGCTGTATCTAAAATTCACATGAAACAAAAAAAAATTAAAAGGATGAATCTTTTCAAAATATATAAATTTTGATAGATTACTTTTGATAATATTCACGATATTTAGATTTTAGAGTGCTTGATTTTGAAGAAACCCTGTCCAGGAAAATTTTGTAGCTAGTTCATTTGTAAATATCTTGGTGAATGCCCTTTTCACAAAGTTTTTCAGACTTGTTCCTCCTACTTGATTTATATAATATTTCTAAAACAAATATTAATATTAATAATGTACCTATATAAGATAATTAACAGAGGAAAAACAAAAAATGAATTTAATTAAATGTCACCTACCAATTGACGTTCAAATTTTTCTTCTGTTTTCAATCTTTCATCAGCAGTAATAATAGACTCAATAGTTTTGAAAGGAAATATTGAAAGAAATTCCTCATCATGTATATTGTTAATTGGACTACCATTATTCAATTTAATTTCCATTCGCTCCAATTTGGCATCGATTCGTTTAACATAGTCTAATGTAGTCATTTGAATTTCAAGTAGTTTTTTGTATATATCATCACTATTAGTGTTACATTCATATGTATTAAATGGCACATAAGACATAGTGTTGTCTAGAGTCAGTATTGCATTTTCCCCTGAATTTTCAGATTTGTCAGTCATCTTTAAATTATCTAAAAATATATTAATTAATTTATCATTTAAATATTAGCAACTAAATAAATTAAACTTTTACCAAATGAATACAATTTCAAAATCAGTATGTCTAAACAAAAAAGTTTAAAATATTTTATTACAAATTATTTGAAAAAAAGTATCATTAGCCTAAATAAATGTATTAAGTTACAGTATTTACATTAAAATCCAAGTTAAAATAATGACCAACATTATTATATACTACTATACCTGTATCCAGTATAAACCAAACACAATTTATAAATAACAAATTAAATTACAATTAATAACTTTATTATTATGAATACATACCAAGTGACATAAGCGTAGTAGTGCTATTTCCAATACTGGGTTCATGTACAACTGTATTATAATATGGTTCAGATGCTGTATTTAAAGGACCTAAACAAATTTATTTATTTTATAATTAAACTATTAACAATGTTATAAATTATTATATTATTTAATAAAAACTTACAAGAAGTTATATTGGTGTTTACTGTTTTGGATATTTTAACAGGAGTTAATTGTAGACAATCAGATTCTATAAAATATAAAAAATGTATAAGTATGTAGTTTAACATAGGTACCATAATATATTGTCAATGTAGGTTAATTTAAATGTATACATTTTATCTAGCTTTAGATATTAGATAGTCTTTTAAAGTATTTGAGTAAATGTATTTAAATACTTTTTGAATTAAGTATTTTGAAAGTATTGTAAATACTGTCTTGGACATATTTGTATTTGAAAATCAAAATAATACTTTTATGCGAAAACTTTTCAAAATTCAAACGAATTATTCGTCAATTATTTGTATTTGTTAATAAATATTTTTTTTTTTAAATACCTATTTGAAATTTATTTTAAATACTTTCTGAATGGATGTTTTTGTATCAGTATTTAAATACAATTTTAAAACTATCTTTTACAAGACTGGCTATAGACAACTAATGAAATTATTTCATTAGTCATTTCATTAAAGGATTGAAGTTTAAATTGCTCTGTAATATACTGTGAAAACATACCATCACTCTCAACGTTATTGTGATGAATCATAATTTTGCGTTTGTAATTTTTTTTTTGTCTAGGAGGAGTTTTTTCAGACTCTGACGCCGAAATAAAAAGTTCCTTTTCCTTACAAACGGCACTAGCATAATCATCTTACATAAATAAAAAAAATAAATAGATTTAAAATGAATTATTAAAAGACAAGAAAATAGGTAAAATAATAAGCGGGACATGGAGACAAGGTGATTAATAAATAACAAAATAAAATAAATTAAATTGATATATAGGTATACTTACCAAAATACTGTGATACAATAGAAATTGAGTATGTTGGCCAATCATTTTCTGGATCATACAATTCCAAAATCATTAGAGTAACACTTCCTTTATTAGGCCATTTACAAAAGCACACATTGCCGCAAAAAACAAGCCATTTTACAGGTACAACAGAATATTTATTCTCGTTGGCGAAGTAACCAACAACCCACTGTAAAATAACATTTTTTTTTTTTTTTTTAGGGAATTATTAAATCTGTGTTCACAGACCCAAAAATAAAAAATGAATAGAAAATAAAATAAAAAAAAAACACATCATGTAAAATCAATACATTCATCGTTCCACTCAGAATCTAAAAGATAATTTAACCATATAAGTGTATTATGAATTATGATCCACGAATTTAAACTTATATAAATACTACCTAAGTTATAATATCGTAAAACCAAATTACCTGTTTAGAAGAGGAGCTATCCATCACTATTCAGTAGGTATTCACTTAGTAATAATACATTAATACCACAATTGTGTAATAGGTACGTTTTACGCACGCTCGTGTCTCGTTCACTCACGGCTTTATATTTCGTAATTTCGTTCACTATCAACACTCGTTATAATATGTTTTGTGATATCTCAATATCATGATAAGCAATTGGAGTTTTTATAATTTCTATTTTTAGATATGAGGATAATTTATTATCTCACGACACACAATGACGAGATCGAGATGTCTGTGAGATATCACTTTTAACAATTGCATTATTGCTAGTTGATAAGTCTATACGACTTCGCTACAAATACTCACATAGTAATCGAATATTTATTTCTATTTGTTATTAAAAATTTAAATCGCATAGAAATCACTTTGTGACATCTTAGAGAAAATAATTATAAACACTTTTTTTCATAACATCTATTGGAAATCACATAGTGGTAGTTATGTGATGTCACATTTGAGACTTAAAAATACAATCGCTGGGATGTTAAAATCACATTAATGCACACAGGGTTTATATGTTTCTGAAAATGCTATTTCATATTCTTTAAGAAAATTATGAAATTGGAAAACATCTATAATTTTTAAATTATTTTGTGTTTCATAACGGTTCATGGACTTTTTTTAATATTTTTAACTCTGATTTAAGGCATTCTATGTCACCTAAATAAGCTCGAGCAAAAGGAAGTATAGTGTCATATGTTAAAAATGTTAACGATTCTGGATTAAGAGCACTTATTCCACTTATTATATCAGAATTATCACCGAATCTCTTATCTAACTCATTTGTTATTTTGTCCAAAATACAATAGAATATTCCCGATATAAATTCGTTTTCTTTTATTGGTACTTGTTTTTCCATAATGCTATTTTCATATACAAATTTTTCCAACCCTTTTGGTATTTTTTTTTTTATTCTTCTTTGCTTAACTTTTTCAGAGGGATGTGTAATATTACAATTTTTTGAAATATTTGTAGCTTCGTTATAAAATAGTTTGTGTTTTTCAGGATTCCTCAATTCCAAAAAGTATTTTTTAATAGATTCCACTAATATGCTATTAGCCATATCAGCTTTTACATTTTGTAAGTATTTACTCAGAATTTGTATTTGAGATAAACTATCATCAAAATACCAATAATAAATAAACAAATTTAAAATGTATTTTTTTTAATAGTCCTTCAGCTTCAAGAGAACGATCTTTATTAGTTGAAAATTACAATTTATTTAAAAGTAACAGAACAATTTCAAGAGTACTTCTTATAGCTTTACAGCAATAAACTTGTAAAGACCATCTTGTTAAGTATAGCCGTTTTAATTCTACTGGTTTTTTTGTATTTAACCTTCAGTAGGTCGCGCGGTTTATGACTACCTATTCCGTCGCGCGGGGTAAAAATTTTCCTTGAGTAAACATAATATACTTTTCTAACATTTATTTATTTGAAATTAAATTTTTATTGTATATAACAAAAAAAGAATACGAAATATAATTAATACTTTTAATTTTACATTTTTTTTTTTTTACTTATTAGACAAATAAATGATAGGTATAAATATTTTAAACTAATTTAAGAATTATTAACATTATTATTTTTTACATCTCACTGAAACACTCTGGACATACTTCTACTAAGTGGTCTCTGCATATAAGTTTTGCACAGTTAGTGCATACTTTTGTAGTTTTTCTGTCACGTTGGCGGTCACAAAATTGACATCTTCCTGACGCTCTTACCCGTTGCTCACCTACTTGTAATGTTGGTTTGTAACCATAAATATTTAGTCGCGTTTTAATATTTTTTGGAAGTGAAAGTATTGTTGCACGATATTGTAACTGTTCATCCATTAGCTGTTTTGCTAATATTTTTAAAAATTGAAGACGAGTGTATTTAGCTTGACTGTTTTCGTGATATATAACTTGAGCATTTACCGCACCGATATTCAAAATTGAATAAAATACTGTAAGTGGCCATCTATTACTCCGTCTTGCTACTGTATAGTTTTCTGTCATCCTGTCCATATTATCAACTGCACCTTTTGTGGCATTATAAAATGTTATAATTTCTGGTTTTTTTGCTAAGCCTGAACTTTCATCTATAGTTTTACTACTATGCATTGTTGACAAAACTAGTACAATTTTATTTTTTTTCGGCATATATGATACTATTGACATGTTGTTCTGAAATCCGAAGTAAGAAGAACAAAGTTCCCTATTTTTAGTAACAAGAAATTCTTTTGGAATCTCTCTTTTATTTTTCTTTATTGTAGCTACTAATGTAAGATTATGATTTTTCAAAAGTTCTTCAGCTAATGATATACTCGCAAACCAATTATCTGCCGTTATATTTCTACCAGATATTGGAGACACTAACCGTTTTACTACTTCACTTGCAGAATTGTCGATTGAAAATGGGCCATCTGGCTGCTTGCCTGCATAAATTTCTAAATTACTAGTATAATATGTAACATTGTCACACAACGCGAAAATTTTAATGCCGTACTTGGCTGGCTTGTTAGGGATGTACTGCCGAAATGAGCATCGACCACGAAATGATTGTAGCTTTTCATCAACACATGCGTATTCTGATATTGAATATGATTTCTTACAGTTACTGACAAAATTTTCAAAAATCCACCGAATATGTGTAATCTTATCTATTTCTTTTCTTTGAGTACGCCCACGAATATCATCAAACCTTATACATCGTAATAAAAATCGAAATCGTCTTTCTGACATTACGCAAGCAAATAGATCTGCTCCGGTTCCATCACTTTGCCACAAATCTTCCGAACTTCTATGAGAACATTTCATAGCCCCTACCAAAGAAAAAAAAAATGTAAAATAAGATAACTATACTCTGTCCAGCGAGAGAACGCGCCGCGGGCCGACCAAAATTGGTTCGTTTTCGCGCATCCCCGCGCGTACCCAGCCTTGTGTGCCCCCACCGACCGACGGCCACCTCCGGCCACGTGACGACCGGCTGTACGTGTCCACGTGACCGACGACGACGCTGTGCCGCTGTGGTGGCAACAATTTTAACGATATCGTACTTTCGAGTTTCGTAGTGTCGTCTATCACGCGCGAACTGCGAAGTGTGTTGGGTACTGTATAATTATAATTAACTGTTTAGTGTTTTCTGTAACCTCAGTGCAAATTATAACAGTTATAATTTTTTATATACGATATTATATATTATTAATATAAAAATGAGTGAAAGGGAAGTTGCTATTACACCATTGAAGACGAACCCTAGAGGAAAAGTAAGTGTTGATAAATTGTAATTGTTTTTTTTTAATGTATTATATTTTATAATTTTTATAATGAGTATTTTTTGTAATATATTTTTTGTCCTCATTTTTCAGTTAGTCGGCAGTCGTCAAAAATTTATGATCATCAATTTATATAAAACAAAAATGTTACAACAACCAACGTTAAAAATAAAAGAAGCGGTGAGGATTATTTCCAAAGAATTGGGTATTGGGCAAAGGACTGCTCAGTCAACGATTGCTGAGTATAAGAAAAAAAAAACTGTAAGTTCACCGAGCAAAACTAAAATTCGAGCAACATTTAAAGAAAAAGTTGACGATTTTGAACGGGACGCCATACGTAGGAAGGTGCTCGAGTTTTGGTTTCGAAAACAGTTACCAACATTGAACAAGATTTTAATAGCAGTTAACGAGGACCCAGACTTGAACACGTACAAAAGGTCCACTCTACACTTGATCATACGTGACTTAAATTTTGTCTTCGTCAAACGCGGTAGGAACAGCGCTCTCATATAAAGAGAAGACATTGTGTTGTGGCGTACAAAATATATCGAAGATATACGCAAATACCGATCACAGGGAAGAACGATCTATTACCTGGACGAGACCTGGGTCAACGCAGGTGACTGCAACGACAGAACTGTTGCGTCCCGCAGAGACGCCTACGTGTCCGGTCTATCAATTGGCGCACCAAATCCAACTGCAAAAGGGAAACGTCTGATTGTTGTGCATATTGGGTCAGAGGAGGGTTTTGTCGACGGCGGCTTATTGGTATTTGAATCCAAAAAAGGCTCGGCAGATTATCATGAAGAAATGAACGGCGATGTTTTTTTCGACTGGTTGAAAGGCGTCATTCCATTACTAAAAGACAATTCTGTCATAGTAATGGACAATGCGCCTTATCACTCAGTAAAAACTGAATAATGCCCAACATTAGGATGGAGAAAAAATGAAATTGAAAATTGGCTGGAAGAAAAAGGTGAACAATTCGAAAGGCCGATTAACAAGGTACGGCTCATGGACATCGTGAAACGCATTAAACCGCGGTACAATACATAAGTTGTTGACGAATACGTGAAGAACAATATGACGGTATTAAGGACGCCACCGTATCATTGCGAAGTCAACCCCATCGAACTAGCGTGGTCGTCCGTAAAAAGGTACGTGAAGTCAAACAATACCACATTTAAACTTCCGGACGTAAGACAACTATTAACCGAAGGTGTCAATTCCTGCACACCCGAAATGTGGAAGAACTTTGTACAACACGTCATTAAAGTAGAAGACAGGTTCTGGAAAGTCGACTTAACTACCGATGATGTGATGGATAATGACAATCTCCATGTAATGACAATCACCGGTGACACATCGGATTCAGACGACTTAGGATGTGAATCCTTAGAATAAAATATATATTTTGTATTATGTTTTATATTGTATGTATTTTGTATTTTTTTTATGAACCGTTAAATTTGTTAACAAAAAAAAATTAACTATTAAAAAATATTTAACTCTAATTAATATTTGACGTTTATTTTATGAAAAAGGTAGAAAAAAATTAGTGTTACCATATAAAAAAAAAAATAAATATTGAAGAAATATTATGATTCGTTTAACATGTATTACACGGGCGGCAATAGTCAACACGCAAGTTGCTGTTGCCGATTTGAGATTTCCCGCGCGTACTCAGCCCGGTGTGGCGTGTGCCGCCACCAGGACGGCCCACCGACTGACGACGGGCGCCGACCGGGCGTTGGCCGTCCTCGGCAGGCCGAGAGAGGGGGAAATGGGGCCTCAGCGCTCGCTCGGTCGTCAGTCTACATGCGCACAACCGGCGCGTTCTCTCGCTGGACAGAGTATAGATAAGATAACGAATCGTAAGATTATTGAAAATATCAATTATTATTTTTATCATTCTATTTTTACCGTTTACATAAATCTAATAATAATATATTATATGGCAGGCCAAAAATAATGTTACTCACCCGTCATGTATAAAATTCCAATCAATGCTTTTATTTCTTTGTAGTCGGTATCCGATGCATCACGTTCGCGACTATAACTTGCACGTGCCTTTGATATATATATATTGGTGCAATTTACTATTGTATCTAACATGGGTTTTGTAAAAAACACTTGCCAGCATTCAAGAATATTTGTTTTGTTTCTAATAGTTGGAGAAACACCTGATTTTTCCGTAACATAATTTTTTTTAGACGTGCGAACTCTCTGGTTTGGCGCACGTTTATTCCACCTAGTTCCATCTTTCCCAATATAGTATGGCAACATTCTCATGCTAAGTGGTAACTCATCATCTGATTCATGGTAATTATCATCGTTTATAATCGCATTATCTACGAAATTATATTCTGCCTGTTCTGAGTTTTCTTCATCAGAAATATCGGATTGTTCAGTATCAGTGTTATGATCTTTTTGTAACATTTCAACATTATCCTCTTCTTCGTCACTTGAGTTCCCTCCCCAAATATCTTCATTATCATCGAAATCGTCAATGAACGCTTCAATTCGTCGACGTTCTAATTCATCCATTTCCAAATATAATAATATAATAGTACGGAAAAAAAAAATACTTATTTCGTCGCGCGGGGTAAAAATTTGCCAAACTCAAACACACACACTTCGAACGCTGGTATTGAACGTACTAACTGATAAAACGTTAAATAAACTTAATATTATCTACTAATGACTTATAAATAGAAGCTAGATAAAATCCCAACACTGTCATACCAACTTAAATAATATTAAAACATAGTTTAAAATTAGTGGGGTAATAAATTACCCCGCGCGACCTACTGAAGGTTAATACTTCTTTTTGTAATTCAATACATTTTTAATGAACTATAGAACTAGAAAAAAAAACATATAATTCTTGTAACAAAGTAAAGAATAAATCAGCTTCTTCTATATTTTTTGCTACATCAACTATTACTAGATTTAGTCTATGGTTTGCACAGTGAGTATATATTGCTTGAGGGACTTCATTTTTAAAAATAGCTTGTACACCATTAATGTGGCCCCGCATAACACTTGCTCCATCGTATGTTTGTGCCACACAATTGTTGATATCAATTTGGCATTTACTTAAAACTGGTTTTATATGCAAAAATAGAGAATTAGCATTTAAATTTTTAAGAGGTGTAAAACCTAAGAATCTCTCTTTTATTTCACCTTGGAAAAAATATCTTACTACAATAGAAAGTTGCTCTGTCTTAGATACATCTTTCGTTTCATCAGCCATGACTGCAAAATGAAATGATTCTTTTATTTCTTTGGAAATTTTAGATAAAATCATAGTGGACATAATATGAACAATTTCATTTTGTATTGAATGATGTAAATACCTTGCATTTTTGGGTCCATTCATTTTTGTCTTAACTACATCATCAAAATTACCAATAGCACTCATTACCTCAATAAAATTCCCTCTATTGAAACTATGTTCATTTTCAATATGTCCTCTTAAAGCTTGTCCTTGAACTGCCAGCATTCTTAATGAAATAATGATTGCCTTCATATATCTTCTATTTTCCATTACTAAACGTTCATGTTGGTCCGAAATTTGAGATAAGACTGAAGTATTTTTATTTTTATTTTTTTTATATTCGACAAATGACATTAGACATTGTTTATGTTCATCAGATTTGTCATGCAGAGGAAATCCATTGGCAGACATTGCATTTTTCCAATTTTTGTACCCTATAGTTTTATAGTTTGTGTCAAAATTTGTTTTTAATTTATTGGAAAAAAATCTGCAAGGAAAGCAAAATGCAGAATCTTCAACTTTGCTGTACTCCAGCCATTTATAAAGTTCATACCAGTTGGAATTGAAACCTCTCATCCTTTTTGTTTGACCAGCTCCATACACAGTTTTTGGAATTGTTTTTAGTTTACGTTGAGTAGGACCCTCATCTAAGGTTTGACTTATATCATTAGGACCAGGAACATGTCGAAAACTATCTGGTATTGTTAAATATTTCTCAGCTACTTCATGTTCATTATAATTATTAATTACCTCTATATCATTTTCACAAATGCTTTCTTCACTTGAATCGTCACTAAAAAATAAAATTAAAAATAAAATACTCTTAAAATACAGATAAAATCTGATAATAATTAAGCTGGCTTAAATATTAAATGTATAATAAAATATAAAAATAATCAAAATGTAATTAATATAATAACCTACATAAATTCAAAATTGTTATAACTTTATAAGATATGTAATAGAAAATTAGCATTTAATTAATTTTTATTTCTATAAAATATATAAAGTGAGTAAATTAAATAGATTGTAATGGGTTAAAAATTAAAGTAATATTCCTAAGGTAAAGAAATAAATAATAATAATAAAATAAATTAAATTAAATTATAAGATTTAGAACTGTTGACTGTTTCTTTTATTGTTATTTGTTATTATTATCAATCAGTGGCGTGCGCAGGAATTTGGTATGGGGGGGGGATGTCATAAATAAAAATGTATATTTTTAATATTTATTCTTTATTATTATACAAAAAAAATTCAATCTAGGCGAAAATTCATTCTTCTGGCTTTTACACTAAATTCATCAATTATTTGATCTATAGATAGTGGAATGTCTCTATGTATGTTCATTAATGCCAATCCATTTAACCGTGACTGACTCAGAGAAAAGTGTAGTAGGATTAATGAAAAACGACTGTAAAATTAAAGAAAAAAGGTGATGATTTCGAGCCTATGAAATTTCACCATAAAAATAAATAAATGTACAGATTTAATTCAATTAAATCTTAAGGGTTCAATAATAACACAATTATCATTATTTTAATACAATTATTATTTGTAATAAGAAAATAATACTTTTGAAAATAAGAAAATCAAATCATTTAATCAAAAAAAAAGATCCTCAAATTAATTGATCAACTATTATTATTTTAAAAACATTTTTACTTAATAATAAAGACACAATGTTTTTAAAACTAAGATAATAATGTAATTAAATTAAAACTATTTTACTTCAACTAAATATTCTATTTTAATTATTTTAATATCTCTTTTACTTAAAACAAGAATGTATGGTCTTTAAAAGTAAGAGAATAAAATCATTAAATAAAAAGTATTGCTTTGTAATCAATGATATTTTTATTCTTCAAATTAACTACCTTTTTTCTTATTTTAAAATGGATATAGCATTGAATATTTTGTCTATATGACTATATCTATATATATTATATATACATATATTAGTTTTGGACAAAACAAATACATTCTGATAAGTAATTATAAAGTATAAAGACATGAATTACTTTTATAGTTAAACATGTAAGAAAAATTAAAACAATGAAATATAACTTTAAAAATCGTTTATTTTACAAGTTCATACTTACTATTTACAATTTTAGAATAATACAATACAAAAATTAGGTAATTTATTTACTAAACTATAAACTTATTATAAGAAATAATGTTTTAGCCTAATTACATGTTCATTAGAATACATGGGTATATTATACAAATTAATTGGAGGTCCATGAAAATAATTAATGTTTTGTATGGTGTATTCATTTGTTACACATTTATTAATTCGATAACATGCTAAATGCTTTTCATAACAAATGATGTCTAATTTTTTACATACAATATAAATGTCATTTTTGCTTACACACACAATTTTTTTTTATAATATATGCTGCTAAAGCATTTTCATGAAAAGTAGCAAGTATATGGTCAATATTATAAATTGTATTAGCATACATGATTTTATCATAACATAAAGCTTCATTTAATAAAAATCTATTATTATCTAAGGATTCCTTATTAATTTGCTTCATAAATTCAACATATGAAATTTCTTCGCTTAAGGATTTATAAGAAAAATAATCATTAATATTAAAATTGTATAAGAAATCAGAAAAAATTAATGAATACTTAAAACCTAGCGATATAGGAACATTAATTCTAGACGTTATATTTTTTGTATATGTTTTTAACTGGCGGTGTTTTGATTCAAAGTTGTATGACCATAAATATCTTAATGGGCCAGATTGTTGAATTATATTACAATAGTGGGTCAAAAAGTGATGCTTTGGTTTGAGATTATCATTGAATAACTCAACATATGTTTTGTTATAAAATTTGTACTCAGTATCAATATTTTTAAAAGGATTTTTACAGAAATCAATTATTTTCATAAGCGAGTTTTTTATCTCTATTTGTAGAGAATCAGTACAAGCAGTTAATATTTTTGACTCAATTTCTTTAGCAATACAATTAGTTAAGACACTTATATTTTTTTGCACCTCAGTTGCATCTTTCCTAGAAAAAATTATTTTGCCATAATAATGTAAAGAAAGTTGTAATGCATGATCATTTAGATCATTTAAATTTATTGGCTGTATATTATTATCAGAAGCATAGTGAATTGATTCATTTATGTCCGTAAATTGTATTTTATCTTCATTGTTGGAAATATTATTTTTATTAATTGAAGTAGATGGTGGATCGTAAGTTATCTGATCATTATTTTTTAGCTCTAATTTCATATGTTTTGAAAAGGATCGAAATGAAGAAAAATGTTGTTTACAGTTGGGTACACAGCATGAATATAGACTATTTGATTTAATAGAATGAACACTTTTTAAATGCACAAATAACTGTTCAAGCTCACTTAGCTTTAAATTACAAACAAAACAATAAAAATTCATTTTATATTTTCTTGGACATTAAAAAATGAAAAAAACTTATTTAAAACTAGTTTTTAGTAATATTAAAAACATAAATAATGTGAGTTTAAAAATATAAATAAACTAGGGATTATTTAAATCTGACAACAAAGACGCTAGTGAAGAACATTGTACATCACTGTCTGTATTTATTTTAAATATAAACTTTTGAATAAATGTCCAAACTAGCTCACTTTGATGTGGGTAGTTTAAATTGAATACTAGAAATATTTTAAAGCATATGTCGACAGCACGAACAATGTTGTTAAATTTGTAATAGGTTCCGAACTAATAAACATAGAACTCACCACAACTTACATAATTTGAACCAATGATGCAAATGAATAGCTGCAACTTTTGTTTAGTCTCAAAACAATAATCAATTCGATTTTGTATTTGAACATATAAATCATTTAACGTTGATACATAAAGCAGAAATGATTCTCGTCCATCAGCAATTGATGGTTTGATGTAACGTTTTCTTTTTGTTTCCCTGTCTGTATAGCTGGTCTTGGATGTTGGTACAATTAGTGAATTTAAAAGTCCGAATATTAATACATTTTTCATTTCTGAAACAAGTTACAAAATAAATATTTATCAAAAATAATAAAAATTTAAAAATAACAATAGTACAATACAGTACTTAATATGTGAAAAATATATTGTCACTAAATATAGTATATACATAATATACCACTTGATTTCAGTTTTTATTTTCCATAAATTATAACTATTTTAGCTATTAAAATTAAGCTATGCAAATAATACCTAAATCAGATTCTGGAAGCTCAAGCATTTGTTTAAGAAGATCTTTACTATGTCCATCTTTTATTTTAACTGTCATAAAAGGTATTATTTTATGTACAAAAGTGCTCCAAGTGTCAAATAGATGGTTACTTTTACCAGGATAAATAAACTCAAAATCAATATCAATCTATAAAATATAAGTAATACAAATAAAATTTAAGAAATAAATTTGTTTTTATGCAAGTTTCGATTATACTATACCAGTTGATGAGCATAAGATTGTTTATAGATAGGCCAATGGTCTAATATATCAGTTATTTCATTACTACTTAATGCAAGGAAATGTCGTCTATGTTCGATTGTTTGTTTCCATTTGGTCAGAACTTCTTCTAAAGGTTCGACATTAAATTGGAGCCATCTCTTCAAACTCAATATTGTAGGATCTAATAATGAGTTACATTAATCATTGGTCATATTTTAGTAGCACTACTTCATAATATCCTGTGATATAATGTGACATTTGCATATTATGCTATTAACAATTAATAAATATTACCATCAGTTTCAATAGTTAAATGACAATATTCAACAGATTTATCAAATAATCGATCACTATTCAAATTTGATTTTGCATTTTTCTCCCAAAGGTCTTGCCGTTTTAATTTAGTAATCGTATTGTGGTACTTTTGATATAACATGCCTTTAGGTTTTTTCTTTGGAACATTTATGAAATATGCTTCCTAAATGTAGGTAACAAATTTATGAATTAAGCTTATTACTGAATAACTAATTTTTACAAGTTTCATAAATAAATATATTTTTATACACACACCTTTACTTCAACATTGAACAATTTAACAATACTATCAGCAATATTTTCCATACATTTTGGGGAAGCATGTATTTTATTTTCAATTAAGTGCTCAACAATAGTTTCAACAATATTTTTTCTACAAGCTTCAGACAGTATATTATTTTTATTAAAATAACTTAGCACAATATTTCCTTTGGGTGATTTCTTCAGTATACTTTCTACATCAAACTATTTTTTTTTTTTAATTAAATTAAATTATTAGTTTTTTCCCAGTTTTCCCTTAACCTACCTATCCATTCAACATTTATAAAAGTATTTGAGTATACCATATATATTTACCATATCTTTATCCATAGACACTGATGATGAGCTTGAACTACATGAAACAGATTTAATTGAATTTATAGAGCTGCTGGTATCAATTTGTTCCTGAAATAAATATTTTTTAACTATTATATGAATTTATCATATTTATTGAGAATATTTACATGTGTTTTTAAGGTCATAAACATCCTAACCCTACCTATGACTAAAAATATATTTTAAGTATTACTATTATTAAAAAAAGTAGGCAAATAAGCAACTTGACTGCCATTTTTTCAAGTGATGTTCAAAGATCATACGTTGCCCAAAATTCTGGGACGGACAAAGTGTGTTCAAATGTTCAGTGGTCATGTACTGTAGACTTTCAACATTAATTCCACAGTCTACACAACATTTATACAAAATATATACAATTTATTAAATGATTAATAATATACCTAATATTTGGGAGAATTAACTAACAAACTAGACAATACTTACCTATAAATATGTTGATAAAACATTCGCCTTTAAGATCTATCAGTTTTTCTAATAAGAGTGCAGTGTTTCCGTCCACCTGCATATCATCATCACCAAAACCAACAATGTTTGGGGTTGGTTGATCGCTTGACATAACGAATGACGATTAAAAATGAAACCAAAACACTTTATTTTTTAAGCTCGAAGATACAATCGTTATAATATTCGATGTGCAACTTAATGACACTATGACAGTTTGTATTTTGTAAGACTATGTTGTCAAACAACGAAAAAAAGTGAATACAGAAACAGAATAACGTCATGTGAATATGAAACGAATTATAAACGAGCGACACTATAGTCTATGACACAAACATTTAGGGTTATAGATTTATAATAGGCGGAGTAATGTAAACACTATTTGGAATTCCCGCAATATAAATACCGCGGTATTTGATTTAATGGATATCGTCCTTAAATTAAATACGTAATTTCTTACTTTAATGGATATGTTTATACTATTAATGAAAATATGTTTAATACAATAGAAGTTACAGTATTATTTTAAATACTGTATGCGTTATTAATTTTAACTTATATATTATTTAATTTAATTATTTTTTCATTAAAACTTACTACATTAATTTAAAGTTACACTATTCATTAATTTAATGAAATTACCTATCCATAAATATAACTAAAATTTATATTATTTTTAAAAGAGTAAGAATTATTTTTACTATTATTTATTAATTATTTTAAATAAAATATTTTAATAGAATTAATACGATTACATTAATTTTACGACGCTTGATATTCATTGAATTTAAACTAATATCTTAATATTAAATCTATTGTATTAACTTTTATGAATTATTTATTTGATATTACAATATCTGTATGTATTTAATTTAAAGGAGTAACATTATTAAAACCAAGCTGTATTTTTCTCTGAGTGCCGTCGTATTTCTTAAATACGTTTTTAATGGTTAAAAAAGAGCGTTCACTAGTCGCTGTGGTTACTGGAAGTGTAATGAGAATTTTTAAAAGCTTGTAGATACATGGAAAAATTGTATTCTCACATTCACAAAACAATTGCACGATCTTTGTTGATGTACTCATAGATTTACACTTGTTTTGCCATAAATACATTTCTCCCATGATTTGCATTTCACTGCAGTCTAAATCATCTTTGTATGTTTTAATCAGAAGTTTGAAGTCGTTGTCGGTGTCTGAATGAATTATATATCCTGGAAGCAGACAGCGAAAACATTGTAACAACTCACGATGTTGTAAAAATCTACCCTCTAGTTGTGTTAAAAAATTGTCCAAGAATGGTATATACACATTGGATCTGTAATAGTCTTCTGCTGTAATATTCCCATTTATTGATCTTTTTTGTATTCTGGTTAGCTTATAAAAATCAATATCCAAATTTTTAGTTTTACTCCACTCTTCAATTTTCTTGAACTCATTTGGAAAATCCTTCAGATGAGTCTCTCCTTAGGTCTTGGAAAACTGTTCTTACATCGTTTGCCAACTGCAGTGCCAAAACCAAATCAATATTTTCAGTTTGTAACTGACGGCTAAGTGGCATACTTATTGAAAATACTTTAGCAACAATATGAGTAGTTATTACAAATTCTGGCTCTTGCATAGCAATTAAGAGTCTTTTAGCTTTAGATGAAGTATCTAAATCTACCCATTGACTAATTTCTTCTAGCGCTTCTAAAATGGAATCAAAAAGTTCAAGGAATACTAAAATTGAATCTTGTCGTTCGACCCAACGTGTAGGACACATCATTTTTAATCGCTTAATATTTAACGAAGGCGATATTTTCTCTATGTTTTTTTTCAAGAACATTTTGTCTTTTTGGCGTTCTGAAAAATACTGCGATTTCTTGTATGGATCCAATAGTATTTCGAACACTTTTTACATTACAAGCATAAGAAACAGCTAGATTCAGGCAATGAGAAGTACAATGGAGGTATAACGCTAAAGGATACTTTTCAGTGATATGTGCTTGAACTCCATTGAAACAGCCACTCATGGCAGCAGCACCATCGTATCCTTGACCTCTTAAATAGTTTAAATTTAAGCCTAAACTTGTCAAAGTATTTAATATGACTGTGGCTAGTCCATTTCCTGTTACATCTGTTACAGGCACAAAAATCAAAAAATCTTCCCTGATTTTTGATAAATCTGTATCAAAGTAGCGTATACAGATTGAAAACTTTTCTGTACCTGAAACATCTGCTGTTTCATCTGCAAGTATAGTAAAACATTGTGACTTATTAATTTTTGACACAATTTGTCTTTGAATTAGTGTTCCACATGAGTCAATAATTTCATTCTGCATTTTTCCACTTAAGTAAGTTGCGTTACTTGATGCTTCAGTTAAATGCTTAGTTAGCATAACATCACCACCTGAAGCTCGATAACGGAGTAGTGCCCGAAAGTTTCCATCATTTTCTAAAGGCTCTTCTCCTAGTACTATCCGACCCGAGTCCTGATGCCCTCTTGTAGGTAGACCTTGACGGCCACACAGTAAAATTGTTTCAATGATTGGCTTTATTCGCTCACGGTTTTCATGTAAATTATTTTTAAGAACATTATTCAATTGGACATCAACTGCTGGTTTTGGTTTTTATATATATTTATTATGTTATCTGCTTTTAGTACTGACATTTTATGATACTGAGTGTTTTCATGGTTATTGAATTTTGAAGTTGAATCCTTCCAGTTATCAAATTTTGTAATGACTAGTTGACCAAGTTGTTGATGACCTCTACCACCTTCATTGCAGCCAAATATAACACATAGTTTGCAAAAAGCTCCTTTCTCATTTTTAGAATATACAAGCCATTTCCATCTAGCAAACCAGGAATACTGAAAACGTAGTTTCCTTTTTCCACATATGGTAAAATTGTAAGTAGGTTCTGGAACCCAATTGTTTTGAAAAAGATTGAATTTTTCCTTGGCACTGCGCTGAAATTGTGTGAAACTATATTTAAAAAAACTGTATGTAATATGTATAACAGGTGCATAACAAAAAAAAAATGATGCTTAGTTAATTAAAGTCATGTTATCTAATTTTTGTGTAAAATAAAATATAAGATAGCTTAGGCAAGTGTTGGGTAAAAATTGAGCTCTAAATCATGCAATTTCTACAACATGCATTTCACAATAGGTAATGTTGTATTGTTGTATATTTATATAGCCAAAGCATAAGCAAAGTAAACTATCAAAGTAAAATTGTACTTAACCGTAAACCATACAAATTGATTTTGTAAAAATTTATATTTTTTAAATCCTCATTAACATGTATAACGCTGGGATGACTGTGAGTTGAAGTATTTTATTAAAATATTTGACTATTTAGTTTTTAAATAAATATAATAAAAAAAAAAAATGTTTTTGATATTCCTATCCTGTAAACAATTATTAAAATATTCTAAATATTTATTTAAAATGAATGTAGTACAAACATATTAAAATTTAAAATAAATTATAACTCATGGAATATAGCAATAAATTCCTTACCTTAACATTTTTTGAATTAGCTTCAACAACATCAAATATGTCACTATCTTTATTTAAAATAAAATCAGGTACACAATTTGACTAAAAAATATGTTTTAAACAATTGTAAATAACTGACAGTAATGTATTATTTATTAAGTTACTACCATATTATTAATAATTATTTAAATATTTTGCTTACTATATCATCTGGATTGTTTAAACATTTATTTATTTCTGAAATTCCAGGGTCTCCATTGTGGGATGTAAAGTCAATCAAATCTGATAATACATTTGACTGGAAAAAATGTAAAGAAACTTAGGTAGGTACCCATCAAAGGTTTTAAGAAAACTCAACAAATGTACATAAAATAATAATAATAAAAAAAAATATATAATTATTATATAATATACATTTGGCATTTAATATAAGTGGATTGTGGTAAAAGCTAAAAGTTTACTTACTGAGTCGTTAGGTGTTTCAAAAGTCAATTCTGAACTCGTTGAATCACCATCTGCACTTTTAATTTTTTTTTTGAAAAAAAGATAAAATTGAAAGACTACGTTTAGCCATAATGAATTTAATAACAATATAAAATTTCTTACAATTAAGAGAACCAAATGAAAATTCGTTCGAGAGAAGTAGTGTCAATATTAGATAATATAAGTTATTAATCACGGTATTAACTATTAAGTAATGAATAATGATAACAGTAGTCATATATTGTATATAAATAATATAATATAAGCATTATAAACCGTTTACAATTTGACCACAGACGATTTGATATGACAGTGTTGTGGTAATACCGTGGTGCGTTACCACTGTTGTGGTCCGAAACGTGGTTTCGGGTGCGCCGGATATTACTTACTCTTTGACACCAATATCAGGAGGTTTTAAAGTAGGTAGATAGGAGGTAAATGACGAAACGACAAATTCGATGTTGAATCGACGGAGTAATATTTTAAAACATAAAAATAGTTAAGATATAAAAATTGAAGTAAATCGAGTACATATAAAAGCAAGTCGTAGTGACGTGGGGCTGCT